AGAATAAATGATTCTTAGTATGCATATAACCTAAAACTTAGCAAAATGAACGCATATATACCTCTTTAAAATTAATAAGGGAAAAGATTCTGAAATGTTCTACTAAGTACAAAGTATCTATTGAAAATAAATGTTATGACTTTTTTTTTACTAATATAATAAAGATGAAATGTAATCAGTATTTATTCTTTAAGTATCATGACTGAATTACTTTGTTTTTAGCAAGAGGATTTTTATAGTTTTATTAACATCTCCTCCCCTACCCCAAGCCTGCAACTAGTTCTTTTTTCTAAATAATGGCAATTTCTAGGTAACTTCTTTCATTTGTTATTTTCCTACCCTGTGGCTTTTCAGTTCCTACCTAAAGGAGTTCCCTTCTGTATGCGGAAGTGGGTTCTGCAGAATGTGCTATGCTTTTCAAAAATGCTGATGTTTCTAACACAGAATTATTGTAATGATGTGAAATTTAAAAAGAAGTCAAATCAGTAAATCAAGCATAAACATGTTCTACTGGGATGTAATGATGCAAGATCCTGATTTTAATACTTTAGCTATATGCCTTAGCTGTCGAACTATTACTTAACTAGGTAATTTTAAGTAGAGAAAAAAGCTCTGGACAGAGAGAAGGCCTACAACTTCATATCAGCTTTGTTACTTACTTATTTTGTGACTTTGGATAAACCCACTAACTCATTAACTGATACTAAGTATTGCAGCCTCCTTATTTATAAAATGAGCAACTTGCACTAAAACACCCTACAGGTTTGTTAGATCTCAGACTGACTATTGTTTCTTAATAACTACTTCATAAAAATGTCAGCACTAGAATGTGTAAAGCAAAACAGCATGACCATTTAAGTGTACCATAATTTATGTCACTGTGAGTAAAGTAATCATGAAGGGGATCGGGAGAATGGACTTGGCTTAGTGGAGTTAGGAAATTTCAATTTTCTACTTGTAAGGAGAGTGGAGGTCCTGTCTGCTGAGATCCTCAAAAATGGTCAAATTATCATTTGCCTCCAATAATTGTAGAGATACCTGATTGATCAGCAGATAAGTTTTCTTCCAATTCAACAATTAGAACAGTTTTTTAATGTCTAATGAAACTGAAGATACAAAATGCTTAGAGACATTCTTGTGCATTTTGCCAAAAAAGACAAATGCAAGAATGTTTTTGGCAACATTGTAATGAAAAAATAAATTGGAAACAACCTCACTTTTCAAGGGCAGGAGACCACTCAGATGCATTCATACAATGAAACATTATACAGCAGTGTATAATATTGTTAATGTTGAATGATAAAGGCAAGTTGCAGAATACATACAATATGATACTGTTTATACAATGTTCATACTATTTGTATAATACATGCATACAGAGCTGATGCCTAACCAGTAGGCACCAGCACAGCCACGCCATTGTTTAAAGTCACTTAACTGATTGTGGCATCCTTTCTTTCTGGTTGATGCCTGTTCCAGAATCTAACATCTCTGTGTGTATATGTGGTAAAGACAATAAAAATCCACAGGAATTATAAAGGAGACTTGTGATCAGGAAAGGGATGCACAGTGGGCTTTTGCCATATTTTTAATATTATAATTATTAATCTAAGCATCAGGTACAAGGGTAATCATTACATTATTCTTTAGATGCTTTTGAATATTTTAAATCTTGCATAATATTTAAGTTAGCATAATTTAAATAACTTTTTGTCTTTTTTTAGGCTCTCCTGGGGTTTAATATATGCTGGAT